TCTCTCTCTCTCTCTCTCTCTCTCTCTCTCTCTCTCTCTCTCTCTCTCTCTCTCTCTCACACACACACACACACACACACACACACACAACACACACACGTAGAGACATGAACCTCTGTTTCTTCGAGCAAACACAAAAGAATTGAAGAAGGGATGGATTCAAACAGAGAATTAACCCGGGAAAGAAGGTGGTCACCAGGTCAACGAGTCCCATCGTACTGGCAAGCTGTCATCGACCGCCGTCGGTGATCCACCGTGGAAATCCGGCAGGAATGTGATAAGAGAGAGTGCGACAGAAATGTTCGGAGAGAAAGAACAGGGCGACACTGGAAATGCAGCTGCGGAAGAACTACGCGAGAGTTTGCAGAGAGCTCTGCTTACCACCTGGGGAAAAGATTCGGCGATGGTCGGTCCCGTTAGAGTCCCAGTGGACGGAAAAGAACAGAGTCCAACTGGACGCAATCATGGGCCCGTTGCGGCCACTCAGGGGAAAGACAAATAACAGTATTATGAAAAAAAAAAAACAAAAAAAAAAAAAACAGATATTAGTCAAGAGAGGAAAACAGGGGACAACAGCAGCGCACTACCGGAAGGGAAAGGGACAGATGACAAACTTCACCTCCGCAATGTCTTCCTGACACGATCGGCGTGATGGGATTCGATCCGGCGATTCCGCAGAACGATCCTTCACTGTTCCCCGCCTTTGTCCATGCCAGCCGCAATAGCGCGATTAGAGCGAACAGCCAGAGGGAGATAGTAGACACAACCCAGGAGGAACAGCAATAAGAGGCAGCCTGGTTGATTAGGAGCACGATAAGATATGGTGTGTTGCTATCTTACGTCGTCGCCCGTGATTGATTGTCTTTCCCGCTCATTGCCCTGCCGATTCTTTGCCTTCCCTGCACCGATCTCTCTTCAGAGTTCTGATCCTATCGTAGTTACCTTCTTGATGCCCACTTCACTAGATCGCGTTAGACATGAGCACGTTAACTTTATGTTGTGTAGGTGTGTAGGTGCATTCCGATTCCGCTTCTGGTCGTCGCTACGCGATTTCCCTTCGCCCGGCGGCTTTTCCGTTCGCCGCCGCTCTTTTCTGGTGCCGGTGGCGCAGCGCCCTCGACCAAAACACCCGCCACTGGCGACCCCACGGCACGAGCGCGCCGTCGTTCGTGCATTAAATACGTCACGCCCTCTCTCAAGCTGCTCTGACTGAACGTGCTCTCTCAAGCTGGGGCCAGGTCCCAGTTGCACGAATTATGCCATATCGACCGTCGATAGCGAAGATCAACGGCCGCAATCTCCTAATCCGTGCAAGTGGGACCTTGCCCCTGCTCTGAAGATGGTACTGCTACTGTACGCAATGGTCGAAAACCGAAAACAAGCTCGCGGCAGAGGAACGCGCGCGCGGGGGTGGCTCGTCTGCTCTGGAGTCGACTCGGCGCCAGACGCGGATGGCGGAAGCGCCATTCTTTTTCCGTTGACTGCAACAGCCAAAGGCGGGACGATACAGTTAGCGCGGGGGCGCCACACCCAAATTGGAGAAAAGCGGGCGACGCAGAAAGGGCGCGGAGGGCCATGAGGGCATTTGATCACACGGATGAACGGAGGGCAGACCTTTTTTTTTTGGGGGGGGGGTTCATGGTTATTGTTTTATGAAAGAAAAAAAAGTCATATTATTGCCCTCCTTTTCGCGGAGAGCCACGAGTCCTCTCCACTAAGCACATGCACGGAAGACAAAAAAATGTTCAAGATTAAAAAAAAAATTCAAAAAAAAAATCAAAAAAAAAAATCAAAAAAAAAAANCAAAAAAAAAAATCAAAAAAAAAAAAAAAAAGAACGTTCAATCGCTGAGTAGTGGAGCGAGACTCGCTCCACTTCAGTGTTCTAGCGGAAGATTCATCTCGCAAATTGGTGCGTAGTGGAACGCGGCCTCCATGG